CCTGGTCCATTCTGCGCTGATTCCAGAGCGTTGGCTGCCAATACCCGGCTACAGACGATAATTTAATACGGACGTAATTAAAAGTTTATGACATGGAAATGTGCGGAAGACACAGAAGTCACGTTTCAGCTCTTGGAAATACGACAGAAAAAAAACCCCGTCATATAGTCCATGTTAGCGGTCCTTAGATGAGGGAGCTGCCTTTGTTTTCTTTATTCTTTATTTTCACCTATGGGACAGGACTACAGAACACCTCCCCCTCTCCAAAGCATGGTGGGGGGTGTTTTGTAGTTCTCAGAGGCAGCTGGAAGCAATGTAACTGATAAGGGCTCATGCACACAGCAGTAAATGGTCGGATAGCATGCAATGTGACAAGTGCAGTAACTGCAGGCGGCGGCCGCACACATATATATGCAAATCAGGAGTATAGGGTGGTTAGACCCTCCCTGAAGGCATTCTGCCTCACCCTGTAAATGTGAAGCCGCCATGATTTGCATATATTTGCATGCGCCTACAACCTGCAGTTGGCAGTTTATGGCAGGAGTGGGGAACCTCCGGCCCTCCAGCCTGTGGTGCATCTGCCTGCAGCAGACTGAGGAAACGCTTCCTCCTGCCTGCAGCAGACCGATCACTGGGGGAAGGGAGACTAAGGAAATGCTTTCTCCCGTCTGCAGCAGACTGATCACTGGGGGAGGGGAGACTGAGGAAATGCTTTCTCCCGTCTGCAGCAGACTGATCACTGGGGGAGACTGAGGAAATGCTTCCTCCTGCCTGCACGCGACTGATCACTGCGGAAGGGGGAGACTGAGGAAATGCTTCCTCCTGCCTGCAGCAGACTGATCACTGGGGGAGGGGAGACTGAGGAAATGCTTTCTCCTGCCTGCAGCAGACTGATCACTGCGGAAGGGGGAGACTGAGGAAATGCTTTCTCCTGCCTGCAGCAGACTGATCACTACGGGAAGGGAGACCAAGGTATATGCTTCCTCCTGCCTGCAGCAGACTGATGACATCATCTCATCCTAGGCTGTGTGTAGAGTTACTGACAGGTCTATATAGTGGCCGGCTCAGCTCGGACGCCATCTTTTCCTGGCCCCTACCACATGCCTGTAATCAGCACCTATAGAACACGTCAGCTAAAGCTCATTACCGGGAATGGACGGAGCGTCGCGAGCGGCTTATGGCGCGATAATTGTGTTTCCAGAAAGCGGCGCGCTGAGGGGTCTCCGGCGAAATGGGCGAGAGTGAATTTTGCTGGCGATCATACGGAAATGTTTTGCAATTTCAGCCTCTTCGCGTCACCTTTTTCCATCTACGTCCCGGTAATCGGCGCGGGAAGGGACGCGTTTTTCTTGCCGCGGTTTCTAAAAGCGAAGTTCATTTTCTCTCAGTTGACGTTATTTCGTGTCTGGCCGGCACGTGAGGCTCATTTTCAGCCCGGAGATTCTGACACATCCCATGGCGGCACTAATCCATCTCGCGCGGCCGAGCCGGCCAGGTAAGTCAATTAGAGGCGACGTCAGAGGTCCCCGCGGAGAAGACATTCGCATTTATAAACTGTTCCGTTACAATGATTTTATCATTGAATTCAGCGTTCAGATCCGAGTCATTACACTCCGCATGCATGACAGCGGAAACAGCGTTCTTAAAAGGGACGCGGACTGCACCGCCGAGACACAGAGGGAGCACAACGTTACCGAAAAATCCATTTGTATTAAAGTGGAACTCCAGCCGAACAGATACATAAACACGTGTGACCTGTCTTATCTACCACACGCATCCGTCATTGTGTCCGGCCACTTTTGTGAATCGTACAACACACTAGACATGTGTGATTCGCTTCGTTCCGAATTGATATTCGGACGAATGTTTGGAGATTCGGGTGTATCCGAATGACAGAAATGACGAATGCAAACGAATCAGAATTTCCTATTCCGAAATTCGTTAGCGGTAATCTGGACGAAATTTCGTTGCAGCAAAATGACATTAGAGACAAAAAAAAGGATAGAGACTTTTTTTTTTACAGTCTGCAGAAGAGGAAAAAAAAAGCCTGAGGTCACCCCCCAATTCATACCAGACCCTTTAGGTCTGGTAGGAATGTTAAGAGGGACCCACCCCGCTCCCAAGTTAAAACACAAAAAAAAGTGTGCGAGGTTCCCCCCAAAATCCATATTAGGCCCTTTAGGACTGGAATTTTAAGGGGAACCCCAGCCCCGAAAAATGGAAAAACAAAATGTGGGGTTCCCCCCTAACATTCCTACCAGACCCTTGACCCGAGCACTGGCCCGGCAGGGCAGGAAACGGGGAGGGGGGGACGATCAAGCGCCCACCCCCTCCCTGCACCTTACCAGGCCACGTGCCCTCGGCATCGGGAGGGTGTGAAGACAAGGGCATCTTCCCCACAACCCTGACCTGGTGGTTTTTGGGGGTCTGCGGACGGGAGTGCTTATTTGCATCGGGGTACCCCTTTAATTAAGGGGGCACCCAGATCAAGGGTCTGGTAGGAATGTTTTTTGCTCCCTTTTTTGGGGCTGGGGTTCCCCCTTAAAATTTCCCCTTCACCAATCGATGACGAGTGGGTAATTGGCGCTATGTTCAGCGCCAGCCCTTTGACACTGAAATGATCGCTGACATCTGACAGTGATGCTTGTGGTCGGTCAGAGCTGGTTATAGATGGATGGGGGTCCAGTTGCTGATTGGGCAGAAGACAATTCTCCTTCCGATCTGCGACAAACTAACGGACATCAAATCTGACCAATAGGGAGCATAGAACTGGCACCAAATTGTGGTAAGTGTATAAGGACCACACACACACCTCTCAACATGGACCGCATATGACCGCGTCTGTGGGAAGGAAGATCTGTCAGCTGGAAGAGACGCGTCGGCTCACACAAAGGAAGATTATTGGCAAAGATAGAACACAGGTTTTTATAACAGAAGCAGCGGGAGCACCCTGAGAAGGACGGGAAAGAGTCAGGAATGATAGAGGGGAGATCTCACTGCACTCTATCAGTTCTGAGTGGAGCGACTCTATAAATATAAGTCAGTTCTGTCTAATAAAACTGCAATCATTTCTCCTGATTGGCGCCCCACTGTTCTGTCTGGCCTCAGACTCTTCCCAAGCCACGAAATTCCATCAATCTGCGTCTCTATAAATCACCGCCAACAAAGGAAAATAAACAGCCGGAGCTCAGGGGTAGAAAGTAATAAAACATTTCCTCTGATTCACATTTCTTCCCGGCCAGAGGGATCAGTTCAGGACACGTAACAGTAGTTCACCCCCAACATCATGGACCCTCAGCATCTCCTATCCCTCCGCATCATCCCAACCCTCAGCATCTCCTATTCCTCCGCATCATCCCAACCCTCAGCATCTCCTATCCCTCCGCATCATCCCAACCCTCAGCATCTCCTATTCCTCCGCATCATCCCAACCCTCAGCATCTCCTATCCCTCCGCATCATCCCGACCCTCAGCATCTCCTAACCCTCCGCATCATCCCAACCCTCAGCATCTCCGATCCCTCCGCATCATACGACCCTCAGCATCTCCTAACCCCCCGCATCATCCGACCCTCAGCATCATCCGAACCCTCCGCATCTCCTATCCCTCCGCATCATCCGACCCTCAGCATCTCCTAACCCTCCGCATCATCCGACCCTCCGCATCATCCCAACCCTCAGCATCTCCTAACCCTCCGCATCACACAACCCTCAGCATCTCCTATCCCTCTGCATCATCCCAACCCTCAGCATCTCCTAACCCTTCGCATCATCCGACCCTGAGCATCATCCCAACCCTCCGCATCATCCGACCCTCAGCATCATCCCAACCCTCCGCATCATACGACCCTCAGCATCTCCTAACCCTCCGCATCATCCGACCCTCAGCATCTCCTACCCCTCCGCATCATCCGACCCTCAGCATCTCCTACCCCTCCGCATCATCCGACCCTCAGCATCTCCTACCCCTCCGCATCATCCGACCCTCAGCATCTCCTACCCCTCCGCATCATCCGACCCTCAGCATCTCCTACCCCTCCGCATCATCCGACCCTCAGCATCTCCTACCCCTCCGCATCATCCGACCCTCAGCATCTCCTACCCCTCCGCATCATCCGACCCTCAGCATCTCCTACCCCTCCGCATCATCCGACCCTCAGCATCTCCTACCCCTCCGCATCATCCGACCCTCAGCATCTCCTACCCCTCCGCATCATCCGACCCTCAGCATCTCCTACCCCTCCGCATCATCCGACCCTCAGCATCTCCTACCCCTCCGCATCATCCGACCCTCAGCATCTCCTACCCCTCCGCATCATCCGACCCTCAGCATCTCCTACCCCTCCGCATCATCCGACCCTCAGCATCTCCTACCCCTCCGCATCATCCGACCCTCAGCATCTCCTACCCCTCCGCATCATCCGACCCTCAGCATCTCCTACCCCTCCGCATCATCCGACCCTCAGCATCTCCTACCCCTCCGCATCATCCGACCCTCAGCATCTCCTACCCCTCCGCATCATCCGACCCTCAGCATCTCCTACCCCTCCGCATCATCCGACCCTCAGCATCTCCTACCCCTCCGCATCATCCGACCCTCAGCATCTCCTACCCCTCCGCATCATCCGACCCTCAGCATCTCCTACCCCTCCGCATCATCCGACCCTCAGCATCTCCTACCCCTCCGCATCATCCGACCCTCAGCATCTCCTACCC